AGGGAGAGAGGGGGGAGAGAGAGAGAGAGAGAGAGCGTTTTATCGCCCCTTCCTGCCCGCCAAACGATCCGTGCCGCGCCACGCGTTTATCTATATACGAAACAACGCTCGCGAGTGCCGCTGCGAGACTGGAACGTGGGGTAACATGTGCGAGCTCTTACATAGCGCGGCGTAATGGTGGGACGGAGGAGAGGGTGGTGAGAACGGTGTAGTAGGGATGGACGGATTCCCACTCCTCGAGGAGAGTACTCCGGAGTAGGGAGCTGGCAAGGACGCGGGGCTTCGCGACGTCGACGGGTCGACGTGTCAGCCGCTCGCCGAGAGCGAGCGCACTTGACTTGTCGTCGCTTCGGTGCACACTTCGCACACTGTCTCTCTCTCTCTCTCTTGCTCTTTTTTCACATTATACATCGTTCCTTTATTTCAAAAAGGACGATAACTTAAAAAAGATTTAATTTTCCAAAACAGGGATCTTGCGTTAAAGTACGTTAGAATTTTCTAAATATTCTAAACGTGTGTCAAAGGTAAATAATATATGCGCCGAAATGGAATGAAAAGAAAGAAAGGAAAAAAAAAAGAATATCTAGACAGAAAGGAAAAAGGAAATATAGAGAAATAAATTGATTTTATTTGAAAAAAAAAAAAAAAAAAAAGATTGGAGATCACGTAGAAGAGGAAACGCGAAAAGCATATATAACATGAGTGTATTTTTCAACTTGACAAAAAATTATTCAACTAATTCAATATAATATCGGCGAAAAGTAAATGTCACTTTTATTATTTTCGTTTCATAACTCTAAAAAAAAACCTATCTTTTTTGAATTCAGACTATTTTATAATTTTTCATAAAGTTATAAGTCTTTAGTTCATTTTTTCTGATTAAAGATAATATTTACTCGATTTATTCATAGTAATAACTCTAAAATCACGTTTGTCGAGTGGTGTCACTTTTAAGGGAGCAATATCTCTTTGTGATTATACCTCGAGGCATTCGTGTATGCTCTACGGGTTGCTTTCTACTCTCCCGATTTCTTTTTTTTTTTTTTTTTTTAATAAAATCAATTTATCTCTATCCATCTGCTTTACACCTTTCCCTTTGTGTCTATTTTGATATCCCATTTTTTTTTCTTTTAGTTAAATTTAGCACATATATTTAACTTTAAAATATGTTCACAATATTTAAAAATATTAAATATACTTTATGCGAATACGTGCTTAACAAAAAATTACAAGTTCTAAACTTTCGTTATCAATATATTATTACATGTATGATGAAAGTTTAGAATTCTTTTAGAATTAGAATAATTTTTTGTGTTCCACGAATATTTTTACATAATAATGTATTTTCAGAAATGTATTGAAAAAGGAACGCCAGATGTAATCTGCTCTCTTGTAGAACAATAAATCGGAAAGTTAGATTCGAAACTTAAACTACGTTTACACGGACACCCTTCATCGAATTTAATAACATACGTAATTATTAATATTAAACTGGTCAATCATAACTTATTCCTCTGAAGAATGGAATGACTGTGATTGATCAATTTATAACTACGGACGTTGTTAAACCCGATTAAGGGTGACCGTGTAAACGTAGTCTTAATTACGATGAAACTCGAGGGTTACCACAAATTTACATTACTAAACGAGCAAGTAAACGAGCGCATAGAGAAGTGTCGTCGGGTTCTATAATTTTTGGTCGTCGTGACTTAGAGTCGCTGTGAGTAGCGCGAATCGAAGCCTGTTCTACAATAGGCCGCAAGCCTTAAGCCGTAAGAAATAAAACAAACATAATCTATTATTGTTTTCATATTCAACATATTTGGTGATTGGCCAATTTCTTACGACTTGCGACCCTATTTTAGAATAGATATAAGCCCGGAAATCTAGAAATGGATGAATCCAGTTAATTATTCTCCTCGCGTTCCGACTGCAATTGGTCAATTTCTTGGTATTTCTTACGGTTTAAAGCTTAAAACACCTATCGTAGATCCGGGCTGAAGCCCGGTCAAAACAGAAGCAGAATAATGCGGGTTCGCAAGACTAGAAACTAACCTAGTGTATTTTCATTATAACAGGTTACACGACGCGGGAAGTTGGGTGAACTTCGACTTTCGCGTCCTGCGCCCTACATTTTGCGGCCTACGACCTGTTATTGTATAATCCGAAATATACGTTTCACTCGCCACCTGCAATTCTGCGTTTTGCGTGTTACGTAGATAGATCGGGCTTAATAGATCGGGCACCCGCAGAAGGAAAGTTACTAAGCGCAGGAAGAAGATGCCTATCGGGATGCCTTCCGCGATGAACTGAGACTGAGACGGAAGGTGCGCACGATCGCACGATTGCCGACGTTCGCCGCGTGTTCGAGCCAGAGAAAAACGAATCCCTTTCTTACGCGGTAGACAGACTAGACAGAGGGCGGAGAAACGTTTCGTCTGTCTGCGATAACGAGAGGATCCCGTGCACCGTATACACGTTACTGACGTTGCACGCATCTTAGGCGCGCGAATTCACCTTCAGGCGTTCGCCATTTCAGCCCGGAGGAGAGTCTTTGTTGTTCCTCCTGTCTTGGACTTGGTTAGATTACGTCGCGATATCGGCTAAGGGATCTGCAGGATCTGTGAAGTTAGCACGTCGTTAAATTAATATTATATAAGGAACAAAAATGACGGTTCCAGTATTTTCCATAGTTGTATACTGTGGTATTAAAATAGAAAAATTACGGTATTTTTTTCTATTAAAAAATGAATATGTGGCGCGTTAATTTCGCGAATCTAGCACGATGCTTTCACTCTAAAGTACAAGAAAAAGAAAAACGTTTCCATTTTTAGCCACTGCTCCAGGTGTTGTCAATGTGTATAATTTGAAAACAAAATTCCAACAATTACTAATTTTAATAGACTTCAAATGTAAAAGATATCACACTTGAAAAAAAGTGTCACGTTGATAATTTATTGCAGTTCCAGCGATATTTCTCGTTACTTCTAGTAGAATTGTATAGTCTCTATAATTATTTTTAAACAAAGTTACATGCGCCATTCTTAATTAAACTACAAGATTGACTAGACTTTTACTTCTGGGAACTCTATCGTTTCACCGGCACGCCCGGCGTGTCCGATACCTGTCGAGTGTGTACAGAAAGGTGATCAACTCCTTAAGGAGGGACAGAGGGACATTAACAAGAAATTCAATATTAATTTTTCGTCGTATTTATTAAATCGTAATAGATAAACTTTTTTATAATTATTAAAATGAATTGAAACATATCATATAAGCAATGTTACTATTATTGTATTTTATAAATAACTAATAACGTTTAATATAACACGAGATCACAAAAAAATTACACAAGTTACGAGATCATATTTTATTTATTTTTTAATTGTACTTTTCTATTGAATGTATTTTATGAATAATATCTGGATTTTTAGATAAAGAAATCATAAAATTCTTCACACACATTAGTTCACACAAAATTACATTTTACCCTTATTATTTTTATCCCTTAAAAGAGGATAATTCATGTTCATAATTTGGAACGATTGGTCATTTTAGTATAATATATAGTAGACTCGCAAACGCAGAGTATGGAGTGGAAAGTTTGCCGAGAAGTAAATAGCGAGCGTCGTGTTTTATGATTTTACTACTCTTGGGTCTCGTCTGTTCGCACGATTCACAATAGTAATATCAATTGTTAATTAACGGCACTGTTCGTCACTCCGCATTGATGCAGGGTCTGTAAAATTATTCCAACACTTCCGGACGCACGCGTGCACCGTGCGATTAAATCGCAGATTTAATCAATATCCCCATGATTTAATTACTCGACAGAATTACTTCGAAATTACTATCGCAATCGGTTTCGCCGAGAATTGGCGTATTTTACCGATTTGAGTAATAAAATCGGCGGGTAAAATTCAGGGACGCTGATTCCACATCTTTTGTCGGTCCAGGATATCTTAAGCGCGTGATGAGGTAAAAGCGACGATTTTGTGCTCGCCGTGAGAACGGAGGTATACCAACGGTACCTCGTTTCTCTTTCTTTTTCCGCCGAAATCGCCGGGTAATTTTGTCGTCATGACGAGACGCGAGTCGTACGTCTGCACGCGCATCCATAAAGTTTCACCGCACAGTTTACGGGATTGAAGGTACCGTGGAAACTGGCACGTGCTCGCCGCGCCGAGGTTCGCGCGGCATCGCGCTGCCCATCATCGCGGTTATATATCATCACGTTCAAACGGGGCCCCGTCGTGGCCGTCGCCTTATCGCATTTCCGTTCACGTTTTCCCCTGCTACCCGTATATACATCGCACACGTTTCCACCTTTCTTGCGTTCAGCGTTTCCTCCCAGGGCCGCCGATCCTACCCGCAGGGCCGACGATAATTACCGACTACTACGAGCCCTTCCTCAAACAGGAATGTTTTAGTATCTCCAATAACAGCTTCGGTAGAAGTTCTCCAATAAGAGCTCTGGAGCCGCAATTTTGTATACATATATGCAGAGTAGTCTTTTAACAAAGATTGACTATTCTTTTTCTTTTTCTCATTTTCGTTCTACCTTCTTCTCACTTTCATTCCTTTCTTTCTTTCTCTCAGAAATTGTTAAAACATGGCGGACCAATAAACAGTAGTTTTTTCACGTCCAAACTCTAGAATTAGAGAGGCTCTAGGCTCTGACCTACCAATTTAGGTTCAGAACTGCAGTCGATATCGTCCCGCATCAGTTATTTTCTCGCTCTCTTTTCTCCTCTGCAAATATGAAAAATAACGAGTCGATGCTTCGACCGATTTCCTCCTCGCAATATTGCAATTTTGTTTCCGTGGGTCAACGAGGGAATCCGTCATCCGCTGCTGCCGAGAGAGAGAGAGAGAGAGAGAAAGAT